CTTAGTAGGATTTCCCCGGCTTTGCAGCGAGCACCACGAGCCACCAGCACGAGGTGACATCCCAGGGGGACGTGAATGTCCCAGCCTCCCTCCGGCTGGATTTGTTTCATGGAGATGGATCCTAAAATGGTCAGGCCGTCCCTGTCAGGGACAGATTTGTGGTGGCCCTCGCACACCCCTGGGAGAAGCTGTGTAGAGCAGGGCAGGAGATCCCCACCTCCTTCCCAGCTCTCCAACACTCAAGTTTAGGTGTGACATTTGCTTCCCAGGCTTTCCCCTTGGAAAACACCTTGGAATTTCCAAGGGGAAAACCCCTTGGAATAGGCAGAGCGCTGCTGAGGTATTTCCCCGTGCTGCTCTGAGCTGGCAGGAAATGCTGGATAAAAATGAGAGAAAATTTAGGGGAAAATACAGGATATGGCAGGCTCTGTGCCCTTCCCTCTGCTTTCCCCGGGGTGAGGGGTTTTGTGGCTGAGCCCCAGGTCCCTGTGCTTGTCCCCAGATGTCACCTTCGTGCTGGATGACGGTGCTATCAGTGCCCACAAGCCCCTGCTCATCTCCAGCTGCGACTGGATGGCCGCGATGTTCGGCGGCCCCTTCGTGGAGAGCTCCACCAACGAGGTGAGATGGTCAGGAGCACACAGAGCCACGGGGTGTGGTTCCATGCAGCTGCTTTTATTGAGAGCTCTGAAATCAGGGCTGCAGACCCAAATCTGACACTCCCACACGGCTTTGGAGCTGAACATATTTTATAATATATCCTTATATAACTTACATATTAATTATTAAACTTACATTGTTCTATTGTATATATAACTTATATATTAATTATTAAATTTACATTGTTCAGGAGCACACAGAATCACGGGATGTGATTCCATGCAGGTGCTTTTATTGAGAGCTCTGAAATCAGGGGTACAGACCCAAATCTGACACTCCAACATGGCTTTGGAGCTTAATGATTTTTAATACTCTATCCTTCTATAACTTACATATTAATTATTAAATTTACATTGTTTAGGAACACACATAATCATGGGATATGATTATTTGCAGGTGCTTTTATTGAGAGCTCTGGGAATCAGGGGTACAGACCCAAATCTGACTCTGACATGGCTTTGGAGCTGAACGTATTTTACTTACATATTAATTATTAAATTTATATTGTTCTATTGTATACATTGACATGAGTTTCTCATGATCTTTCTTAGGCCCCTGACCACAGTTTCTTATCATTATTCTTACGATTAAACAGTAATTATATTTAATTACTAAACAATCATATCCAACAATTATATCATTTATCATGTACAAGCTACACAGGTGCAGCTCTAGCAAGGTACGAGGCCTTCATGTACCCAGGGTATTTATTTTTTCCAGGGCCTACTAAGCTTAATTTTCCTTTTAACCTTAAATCCCCATGATTTTAAAAGCCTTTTACCATCAAGGAGAGCTGCTGGGAGGGTGGCACAGCCGGCCAGGAGGTGACAAGGTGTGTGTGTCTGGCAGGTGGCACTTCCTCACACCAGCAAGAGCTGCATGCGGGCGGTGCTGGAGTACCTGTACACGGGCCAGTTCAGCTCCAGCCCCGACCTGGACGACATGAAGCTCATCATCCTCGCCAACCGCCTCTGCCTGCCGCACCTGGTGGCTCTGACAGGTGAGTCGGGGTGGCTGAGGTGCAGCAGGGGGACTGTCACCCCGTGCCAGCCACCCCCCGACCCGCCGTGTCCCCCCGTGCAGAGCAGTACACGGTCACCGGCCTGATGGAGGCGGCGCAGATGATGGTGGACATCGATGGGGACGTGCTCGTGTTCCTGGAGCTGGCTCAGGTAGGACAGGAGCCTGTGCTGGCAGGGCTGGGGGGCTCCAGGTGACACCCAGTGGGGTCTGGCAGGGCTGGGGGTGCTCCAGGTGACACCCAGAGGGATCTGACAGGGCAGGTGACACCCAGAGGGGTCTGGCAGGGCTGGGGGTGACACCCAGAGGGGTCTGATGGGGCTGGGGGTGCTCCAGGTGACACCCAGAGGGGTCTGACAGGGCTGGGGGTGACACACAGAGGGGTCTGACAGGGCAGGGGGTGATACACAGAGGGGTCTGAAAGGGCTGGGGGTGCTCCAGGTGACACCCAGAGGGGTCTGATGGCGCTGGGGGTGACACCCAGAGGGGTCTGATGGGGCAGGAGGTGACACCCAGAAGGGTCTGGCAGGGCTGGGGTGCTCCAGGTGACACCCGGAGGGGTCTGGCAGGGCTGGGGGTGACAGCCAGAGGGGTCTGATGGCGCTGGAGGTGACACACAGAGGGGTCTGATGGGGCTGGGGGTGACACCCAGAGGGGTCTGATGGGGCTGGGGGTGCTCCAGGTGACACCCAGAGGAGTCTGGCAGGGCTGGGGGTGACACCCAGAGGGGTCTGATGGGGCTGGGGGTGCTCCAGGTGACACCCAGAGGGGTCTGGCAGGGCTGGTGGCACCCAGAGGGGTCTGGCAGGGCAGGAGGTGACACCCAGAGGGGTCTGGCAGGGCTGGGGGTGCTCCAGGTGACACCCAGAGGGGTCTGACAAGGCAAGGAGTGCTCCAGGTGACACCCAGAGGAGTCTGGCAGGGCTGGGGGTGACACCCAGAGGGGTCTGGCAGCTCCAGGAGCTGGACAACCAGGTCTGGCCTTGGATGTCCATGGAGAAACAAGGCGAATTCCTGGTGCTGGCCCGTTGCTGGTGGCCCTGAGCTGTGTCCCATCCTCTCTCCCAGTTCCACTGCGCCTACCAGCTCGCCGACTGGTGCCTGCACCACATCTGCACCAACTACAACAACGTCTGCCGCAAGTTCCCCCGCGACATGAAGGCCATGTCGGGAGGTGAGTGGCAGCCGGGGGGCACGGCAGGGTGGTCCCCGTGGTCCTGGCACTGCCCTCACCCCCCCTGTGCCCGCAGAGAACCAGGAGTACTTCGAGAAGCACCGCTGGCCGCCGGTGTGGTACCTGAAGGAGGAGGATCACTACCAGCGGGCGAAGAAGGAGCGGGAGAAGGAAGACTACCTCCACCTGAAACGGCAGCCCAAGAGGCGCTGGCTCTTCTGGAACGCCTCCTCCTCCCCTTCTTCCTCTCCTTCATCGTCGGCAGCCACAGCCTCCTCTTCCTCCTCCTCCTCCTCCTCCTCGGCTGTGGTTTGAAAGCCCCGTCCTTGCCCTGGCTGCAGCGTCCCGGGGAGGAGGAAGAGGAGGAGGAGGAGGAGGAAGGGTGGATGCCCTGCCCCAGCGCCAGGCTGGGGTGGCACTGGCCCCGCAGCAGAGGCGGTGGCCGGGCAGGGGCTCGGCAGGACTGGCAGAGCCCGAGCAGCAGCAGCAGCAGCAGAAATTCGCCTTGGCAGGGGCGCGAGGGCTGTGCTGCGGCTCAGTCGTCGGAAATTGGTTTTGTTTCTTGGAACATCATCAGCATGAGGAGGAAGATGACGAAGAAGAAGAAGAAGAAACACATCCTGCTTCCACTTTGATTTGGAACCAGAAGCTCTAAGGGTGTGGTTTGGGTGTCTGGTGGCATCTCACCACCTGGAGCCACTCTGGGGGTGCTGCCACCCCCTTGGACTCACAGCAGGGTCAGGCACAGGGCAGGGGACGCTGGTCCCCAAATGCCTCCAGGCGCTGCAGGATTTCCCCTACAAGTGGGGTCTGTCCTCATTCAGGGCACAGAGAGGATCGGAGTCCTCTCCTCCCTGTTCTTAACTCTTCAGTTTTGTTTAGACAGAAACTTAAAGCAAAAAAACAAAAACAAACCCAAACCCAAACCCACTCCCTCAATCTGCCACACCAGAAACCAACCCCGAGCCCTTGGCTTGGGATTTTAGCCTGGAAGGCTCCATTGTAATAAATGGTATTTTAAAAGCCCGGCGTGGTTCCTGTGTGTGTGGGAGGAGCAGCTGGGCAGGCACATCCTTGTGCCAGGCTCGGGGTGATGCCCTGACCCCCTCCAGCGCTCCTGGGACGGGCAGGGACAGCCAGGACCCAACCCCTGGTACAACACCAGGCGGTGGCTTTTCCATCGGACTCGCTCTGCCTGTCCCACCCGTGTCCCTGCAGGGCTGCCAGGCAGGGCAGGAGGCACCCAAACCTCCTCACCCTGCCCGGCTGGGATGGGGAGAAGCTCCTTGGAGCCCGTCCCTGCAGAGGCTGCTGCTGGAGGAGCACCCAGGGGTGCTCCTGGTGGCGTCGGTGGCCTCGTGGAGCACCTCGGAGCCTCCCACGCTGCATGCCCACGCTCAGCCTCGGATGCAGGAGCGAGGTGGTGGCTCCTCACCCTCGGTGTTCAGGTAGGAGCACGATTTTCCCTCCTTTTCACACAATCTGGGCACTCACCGCTGCTTCTCCCCGGGCCAGGAGCCGAGCCCTGGCACTGAACCCTGCATGTGCCCAGGTCTGCATGCTCGGGGGGGCACAGGGAGACACCCACCAGAGACCCCTGGGCACCAACCCCCAGGGCAGGTCAACAGCAGCTCCTCTGAAAAATCCCCTCGCCGTGCCGGGGCTGGGGAGCGGCTGCAGGGGCGTTTTTGGGGGGCTGAGCAGAGCCCTGGGGGGCTGAGCAGAGCCCTTTTCTCACTAAGCACCGCATGGATTTGCAACACAGCTACTGCAAGCAGCACACAGAGCCCTGGCCGGGTGGAGCCCGAGCCCCCTGCCCTGGCACCGGACTCTGGTGTGGGGTAAATAAAGTCCAGGATGGAGCTGAGAGCTTGTCCTGGCAGAAAGGTCCCCTGGGGGCTGGTGGGGACATTCCTGGTGGGATGCTGGGGTGGTTGAGCGTTAATTCCATGGGCTGAGTCCTCAGTGCCACATGGAGCAACTGGTGTCCACTGGGACCCTGGTGTCCACTGAGACCCTGGTGTCCACTGAGACCTTGGTGTCCACTAGACCCTGGTGTCCACTAGACCCTGATGTCCACTGAGACCCCAGACAGGCCCTCACCAGAGTTCTGTGGGGAAAACAAATCAAACCAGACAAGCAAATCAGGATTTATTTTTTTTTTTTTAAAGTTAACCCTTCATAAACAGAGAAATGTAAAAAAACCTGGAAAATAGCAAACTGGCTGGGCCAGAGCTCTGTAAAAAACACAGAACCATGCATAAGAATATAACTATTTTTATATAGCTTTTAAGTTAATATATGTAATATTTACAGTTGCTAAATAAATAAGTAAAAAAATTTCTGCTTGTGGACGCAGTGTTGGAGGGTGGGGGAGAGGGAGAGCAGCAGAAGGATGCTGAGCACCCTCCCACCCCTCTGGGGACGGACTGGGGGGCGACTCAAGTACTCCAGTGGTTTTCCCAGCTGTTTTTGCAGCTGGGTTGTCCCTGGCGAGGGACAGTGTGAGGTGCAGTGTGTGGGGAGCTGCCCCTGGGCCGGGATGGGCAGGGGGTACCACGGTCACACTCACACTTAGTGCATTCACCCCTCCACGCTGGGGCACGCGGGGACAGCAGGGCCACCCCACGGCCACGGGGCTGAGCTGGGCCCCACAAGGGGATTTTTTCCCTTCTCCTCAGCTCTGGGGAGACTCCACCTGCAGCTCTGGGGCTTCCACAAGGATGTTGGAGGTGTTTGAGCAAATCCAGGGGCTGCTCTGAGGGCTGGAACCCCTCTGGAGCCAGGCTGGGAGAGCTGAGATGGTCCAGCCTGGAGAAGAGAAGGCTCTGGGACACCTCCAAGCCCCTTCCAGTACCTAAAGGGGCTCCAGGAGAGGTGGAGAGGCCCTTCTGCAAAAGAGCCTGGAGTGCCAGGACACGGGAATGGTTTTAAACCGAACGCAGATCACATTAGGAATAAATATTTCACATTGAGGGTCGGTAAACACTGTCAGAAAGGCTGCCCAGATAAGCTGCCTCACCCTGGCAAACATTCAAGGTCAGGCTGGATGGGGTTTGGGGCAGCCTGGTGGAGTGGAAGATGTCCCTGGTCCTGGGCTGGGTGACCCCTGCCTTGTCCCTTTCCCCAGGCAACCCCAGTGTTCCAGTGCAAGTCAATCATTGCTCCTCTCCCCTCCAAGTCAAGTTTTAAACTGCCTCCTAAGAACAAGCAGAACCATTGGAAACAAAATAAAATACAAATTCAGTACACAAAAAGTACCCCAAGACCCCAGCTGAGCTCGCAGAACCACCAAGCATGCAGAATGAAGCTGACTTAGAGACGTTCTAAAAGCAGAAGCCATTTCACGACGCCAGGAATCCTTTGAGAACCAAGGATGATCCGTTCAAAAGCACAGGGATGCCAAAAGCCCTTCTCTGCACCGATCCCAAAGCAGTCTGGGTAGTACCAGCGCTTCCAAGTGAGGAAGCAGATTGAAATTGTTTGAAACTCTTGGTGTCCAGCCAGTGAAATCAATAAACCCGCTGGGATTCCACGAGAAAGCACCAACATGGGAGCTGCAGCAGAGAGGCCCTCGAGGCTCACACATCCCATGAGGATCAGCCCCTGAGCAGCCACAGGAGCGCTACACACAGCTAAAATCTGAATATTCCGTGAGGTATTTCACAGCTGTAGCTCCAAGGAGGGAGTTGCAGCGTGGCCCTGACGCCTTCAGCTCGTTTCGTACTGGAAAAGTCCATCCTTGACCAGCTTGAAGGAGATGTCCTCTGCCACCCCGCGGAGGTTGAGGCGGACCAGGGTGTCCAGCAGCGTGTTGATGGAGGCTCTGGAGCCCTCCCTGTTCAGCCACTTGCACAGCATGCCGTAGAAACCATCGTAGAAGCCATCGCAGGACGTGGCCATGTTGATGTCATTGTCCCCCAGGTTCAGGCTGTGCCCGAATCTCATCCACTCACTCATGGGGGTCTTCTCAGCGAAGATGTAAAAGGTTTTCCGCAGCGCTGGAGGGGGAAAAGGACAGCTCAGAGTGTCAGTGTTCAGGAGCACACACAATCACAGGACATGATCATCTGCAGGTGCTTTTATTGTGAGCTCTGAAATCAGGGGTACAGACTCAAATCTGCCTCCAACACGGCTTTCAAGCTGAATATATTTTATATTCTATCCTTATATAACTTACATATTAATTATTAAGCTTACATTCTTCTATTGTATATATAACTTATATATTAATTATTAAATTTACATTGTTCAGGAGCACACAGAACATGGGATATGATTCCATGCAGGTGCTTTTATTGAGAGCTCTGGGAGTCGGGGTACAAACCCAAATCTGACTCCAACACAGCTTTCGAGCTGAACATATTTTATATTCTATCCTTGTATAATTTACATATTAATTATTAAACTTATATTGTTCTATTGTATACATTGACACGAGTTTCTCGTGATCTTTCTTAGGCCCCTGACCACAGTTTCTCATGATTATTCTTATGATTAAACAGTAATTATATTTAATTACTAAACAATCATCACATCCAACAATTATATCATTTATCATGTACAGGTGCAGTTCTAGCAAGTACAAGTTCTTCGTGTGCTTAAGGTATTTATTTTTCCAGGGCCTACAAAGCTTAATTTTCCTTTTAATCCTAAATTCCCATGATTTTAAAACCCTTTTACTACCAAGAGCACGGGCAGCTGGGACAGGAATCCCAGCCCCCAGCACATCCCCGGGGGGATTACCTTCACTGGCTTCCTGCCCTGCTGCTGGAACCAGAGGGGTCATGGATTCCTCATTTGGCAGCATCTCCTGGAATGACAATGTCACTGCTGGGATGACAATGTCACTGCTGGGATGACAATGTCACTGCTGGGAGGACAATGTCACTGCTGGGAGGACAATGTCACTGCTGGGATGACAGTGTCACTGCTGGGATGACAGTGTCACTGCTGGAATGACAGTGTCACTGCTGGGATGACAATGTCACTGCTGGAATGGATGTCCTACAGCACCCACCAAGCCCCAGCACCAGTGTGTGATTAATGGGGATTGCAGACCCTCTCCCTCTCTCCCAGGGCTGTTAGGGCAGGAGATCACCACCCACCCCCTGAAATCCGTGTTTCCCGTCCCTGCAATGGCAGCAGCCCCCAGAGGTCCCTCTGTCCCTCTCCCTGAGGGACACCAGAGCTGTGTTTGCTCAGCATCAGCGTTAAATCCTCCGAGGACTCTCTCCAGTGCAACGAGCAGATTTTGCCAGCCTGACCCCACAAAGACACCCCCTTCACCATCTCCCTGGGCAGCCAGGCCTGGAAGTCCCCCCAGGATATCAGATCTTGGCCTGGCACGCCGGGGCAGAGGGTGCCAGTGACGTACCGGCGCTCCTGGCACTCCTGGCACTCCTGGCACGTAAGGCTGCAGCCTCCCTGCGGGCGAGGTGTCCTCTGGCCTCACGTTCACCGTCTTGCACAACAGCAGCTTCCCAAACATGGAGCTCTGTACAGGGGAGAAACACCAGCTGGGGTGTGGATCCCAAGCTTGGAGGAGCTCTGGGCAAGCACAGCCCATCCCTATCCTGGGATCTCCCCTGTGGACTCTGGATGTGCCAGCACTGCCACCAGGAAAGAGTTAATGGCACTGAGGAGGGGGCTGGAAGCACCCAGGGCACCACCAGAGAGCCTCCTCTGCTTGGCCCAGCTCTGCCACAACCCTCAGGGATGAGCCTCATCCCCCTGCTCCTCCTGCCTTCCCACCTGGATGAGCCTCATCCTCCTGCTCCTCCTGCCTTCCCACCTGGATGAGCCTCATCCCCCTGCTCCTCCTGCCTTCCCAGAGGGATGAGCCTCAATCCCCTGCTCCTCCTGCCCTCCCAGGAACTGCAGACCAAGAGAGGAGCAGAGGGAATGGGAGATGTCACCCCAGCCCACAAACACAGCCACAGCCCCCTGCCATCCCAGGAACTCACCACTATTTGACAGGGCCTCCTGCTCGAGGGTCTCCCATCCCCTGGAAGATGGAAAGAGCACTGTGATCCCTCTTCCCCCAGGAAGGACCCTCTTCCCACTTTACCCACACCAGGTGGGTGCTCTGGGGGTCTTTTTTCCCACTTTACCCACACCAGGTGGGTGCTCCCAGGGTCTCTTTTCCCACTTTACCCACACCAGGTGGGTGCTCCGGGGGTCTCCCTTCCCACTTTACCCACACCAGGTGGGTGCTCTGGGGGTCTCCCTTCCCACTTTACCCACACCAGGTGAGTGCTCCGGGGGTCTCTCTTCCCACTTTACCCACACCAGGTGGGTGCTCTGGGGGTCTCTCTTCCCACTTTACCCACACCAGGTGGGTGTTCTGGGGGTCTCTCTTCCCACTTTACCCACACCAGGTGGGTGCTCCGGGGGTCTCTTTTCCCACCCAGCCCACACCAGGGGTGCTCCCGGGGTCTCTTTTCCCAATTTACCCACACCAGGTGGGTGCTCCCGGGGTCTCTCTTCCCACTTTACCCACGCCAGTGCAGAGCCCCTGGCCAAGGTGGGTGCCCCAGGGGTCCCCTGCACCCACCTGGGGAGCTGCAGTGGTGTTTCAAGCAGAACAAAAGCAGGGGCCAAGCCACTATCACAGCGATCACGGCACTGATGGCGCCGATCTTGGCGGCTAAAGCAGACAGAACGGGGGTGAGGGTGTGAGGAGCTGCTGCTGAGGCTGAAGCAGGAGCAGCTGCCCCCATCCCCATCGCTCCCCAGCCCCCTCGCTCACCGTAGGGCCAGGGGGCCGTGTCAGGGCCACACAGCAGGTCACTGTCGGGGGTGCAGCGTTTCAGCTCCACCTGACCCTCAGGACACCTGGAAAGGGGACACAGGGTGGGCTCAGCAGCCGTGGCTCCGCAGTGCAGATCCCGCGGGAGCAGCAGGATCAATCCCACGGGAGCAGCGGGATCAGTCCCACGGGATCAGATCCCGCGGGAGCAGCAGGATCAATCCCACAGCAGCAGAGGGATCAGATCCCACGGGAGCAGCGGGATCAGATCCCATGGGAGCAGCAGGATCGATCCCACAGGAGCAGAGGGATCAATCCCACAGGAGCAGCGGGATCAGTCCCACAGGAGCAGCAGGATCGATCCCACAGGAGCAGCAGGATCAGATCCCATGGGAGCAGCGGGATCAGATCCCACAGGAGCAGAGGGATCAGATCCCACGGGAGCAGCGGGATCAGTCCCACAGGAGCAGAGGGATCAGATCCCATAGCAGCAGCGGGATCAGATCCCACAGGAGCAGCAGGATCAGTCCCCACGGGAGCAGAGGGATAAGTCCCGTGGGAGCAGCGGGATCAGTCCCACAGCAGCAGCGGGATCAGATCCCACAGGAGCAGCGGGATCAGATCCCACAGGAGCAGAGGGATCAGTCCCACAGAAGCAGCGGGATCAGTCCCACAGGAGCAGAGGGATCAGTCCCACAGAAGCAGCGGGATCAGATCCTATGGGAACAGCAGGATCAGTCCTGCAGCAGCAGCAGGATCAGATCCCGTGGGAGTAGCGGGATCAGATCCCACAGGAGCAGCAGGGTCAGTCCCACAGGAGCAGCGGGATCAGTCCCACAGGAGCAGCGGGATCAGATCCCACGGGAGCAGCGGGATCAGTCCCACAGGAGCAGCAGGATCAGTCCCACGGGAGCAGAGGGATCAGTCCCATAGGAGCAGAGGGATCAGTCCCATAGGAGCAGAGGGATCAGATCCCACAAGAGCAGAGGGATCAGTCCCACAGGAGCAGCGGGATCAGTCCCACGGGATCAGATCCCACAGGAGCAGCGGGATCAGATCCCACAGGAGCAGCGGGATCAGATCCTGCAGGAGCAGCGGGATCAATCCCACAGCAGCAGCGGGATCAGTCCCACAGGATCAGATCCCACAGGAGCCACAGCGGCACTGACCCACCTTTGCCGGCACTTCTGGCACATCTCGCAGGGGTGGTCCGGGGGGCAGAAGGTGCCGTTCTTGCAGACGCACAGCGTGTTCCTGACGGGCTGGCAGGGACTCTGCTGCACCTGGTCTGTGGGACAGAGGGGACACGGCTCCACCTCGGCTCTCTGCCGAGCCAGTCCCTCCCTGCTGCTCAGTGCCAGCCTCTCCTGCCCCACGCTGCCCGTACCAAGGGAAAAGCAGAGCCTGGGTCAAACTCCACCAGCAGCTCCCAGTGCTGCTGGGAGCCTCGTCCTCCTGCTCCGTGCGGAGGTCTGGTGTCCAAGCTTTGCATGAGAGATGTGGCCTTTAACAGATACAGTTCTGGCACAGCCTCAGCCACTCTCTGGGGACACTGCAGGTGACACTGTGCTGGACCCATCCTGAGCCATCAGCCCTGCTGCCCCCCAGCTCGTACCTTCCCTGCACTCGGAGCAGTCCTGGCACCAGCGCAGGGCGTTGGGATATTCCATGTACTCCCCGTCTCTGCAGGGCTCACACCGGCCAGAGCTGTTCTGCTCCTCACACTCCTCTGCAATGAAGGTGCCTGAAGAGAAAGGGAAACTCTGAACACACAGGGAAGGGGCTGGAGCACCAGGAGAGGCTGAGGGAGCTGGGAAGGGGCTGGAGAATTCCTGAGGGAGCTGGGAAGGGGCTGAGCCTGGAGAAAAGGGGGATCGGGGGGACCTTGTGGCTCTGCACAGCTCCTGCCAGGAGGGGACAACCGGGGGGTCGGGCTCTGCTCCAGGAACAGGGACAGGAGCAGAGGGAACGGCCTCAGGCTGGGCCAGGGCAGGCTCAGGGTGGAACCAGCAGGAATTTCCCCATGGAAAGGGAGCTCAGGCCTTGGGACTGCCCAGGGAGGGCTGGATCCCCATCCTGGAGGTGTACAAAGACTGGACTCGGTGGCTCTCAGTGACAAGGTGGGATTTGGTGGCCTTGCAGGGTTTTTCCAACCTGAGGGATTCTGTGATTCCACCACCAGTGAGGCTCAGAGGCAAACGAGCCAAGAAAGGGAAAATATTCCCAAAATGAGTGCTTAGCTCCATGACAGAGGAGCAGGGCAGAGCTGGAGCTCAGGAGGAGCGAGGACACAGAAGAGGAGCACAGAGAGGCTGCAGAGGTGGGATCAGTGCTGAGCCCATCTCACCTGCAGGGCACTTCTGGCAATAGACACCATCGCTTTTCCTGTAGAAACCATCTTCCCCTCCCCAGCCTCGATCCAAGTGATCCAAGCTGTCCCTCCTCGTCAGGGTGACAGCACTGGCTCCTAAAACAGCCGCCTGTTAAAAAACACAGAAAACCTCATGTTAAAAACCACCCCAGTCCACAGGGCAAGGGGAGAACGGGCAGGGTGGGAGCTGCTGTGCCCAGGGAAGAGGAGAGGGGCTTTGGGATGGCCAGAGCCACCTCAGCCAAAGGCACTCCCCACAAACCAGGGCTGGCTTTTCCTTGCAAAGCCTCCGGAAGAGCTTTGGAGGTTTGCAGGGGAATTCTGCCTGCCAGGTTATCAGCAGGGCAATGAGTCGCTAACGACCCCTTTCCTTCCCCAGTTTCTGAGAACAACCCTTTTCCTTCCCCAATTTCTGAGTGCACCAACTGCCCCGATGGAAGGGAAGAGGAACGGGGTCTGTGGGAGGGAACTGCCCCGTGGCAGGGCTGGAAGGTGGCTCCGGTGCCCACCAGAAACCCCTGGGTTGTCACTCTGGGCTCCCAGGGGACAGCACAGCCTCGTGTTTTCCCTGTTCTCCTGCTGAGGATCAGGCAGAAAAGTCCACTCCCTTTTTGTGCTGCCTGAGCTCCTGGCCGGGTCACTTCAGGGGGACGATGCTCAGCAGGAATGGCCATTTGTCCCCTTCGGCTTTGGGGGTTTTGGGGCACCTCAATGTCCCCAACGGGGACAACGCCATCGGCCTCTGAGCCAGCACAGAGCTGCTCCGTGGATATCCATGGATATAAAGTGAATATCCGTGGATATAAAGCTGATATCAATGGATATAAACTGGATATCTGTGGATATAAAGCTGATATCAATGGATATAAAGTGGATATCTATGGATATAAAGTGGATATCCATGGATATAAAGCTGATATCAATGGATATAAAGCTGATATCCATGGATATAAAGTGGATATCCATGGATATAAAGTGGATATCCGTGGATATAAAGCTGATATCAATGGATATAAAGTGGATATCCATGGATATAAAGTGGATATCCGTGGATATAAAGCTGATATCAATGGATATAAAGTGGATATCCATGGATATAAAGCTGATATCAATGGATATAAAGTGAATATCCGTGGATATAAAGTGGATATTCATGGATATAAAGCTGCCCCTACCTCACCAGGGTGGCTAGGACAGACATGTCACAACACCCATGGGCTGCACGAGACACTTTTTCCTCTCCCCTCCCCTCCCCAGCGCAGAGAGCAAAGTATTAAAGTAAATATTTCTGCCGTGAGTCAGACGACAACAGAGCGCCTCTGCCCCTTGCCCGCAGCACCGGTTCCTGCCTCCTCCTCCTCCTCCTCCTTCCCGAGCTTCCTGCAACAGGAAAAGGCCCCCTGGCCACGCTGATGCCTTGGGAAGGCTGACCTTGAGGGGAGGCTGGGCAGAGCTGAAGAATAAAGCAGGGATTTATTAAAATTATCTCCTCAATGCACCCACCTTGGGCAGCACAAGAGCCCAGCCAGGGCCACACCCAAGATGAACCAAAATGGTCCCAAAATGGTCCCAAAATGGATGACAGGTCACGGGGTCTGTCACGTCATCCCATTGTTCCAACAATGGAGGAGTTTGGATAAAGGGTTTGGATACAGAGTTTTGCAAAACCCTTCTCGGAACTCAAAATGTCCCTCAGACATTTTTGGAGGTTGCAGGCCCAGGTCAGAAGCATTTGAGACCCTGGCAGGCAGCTGGAAACAGCTGTGATTTTGGGTTTGAGCTATGGAACGATTTACCAACCTTGCAGGAAGAACAAGAAGTCACAAAAGTTTAGATATTAGAGTAGAAGTAGTCACAAAGTAGAGGGAAGAATTTCTGAGTGCTGTACAGGGGGGTTTGGTTTTGTACATGGGGGTCAGAGGTTTAAGATGGAGGGATTTGGGCCTGCCCTGTCCTCCCTCTTTCTCCTTCCTTCCCTCCATGTTCTTGGTGATGTTGGCACTCACAGATTGGTTTAGAGTAGAAAAGCACCATTTAATATAGGTAATGGGCATTGGGGAAAAACTGTACCCATGTAACACGTAATGTACCATATAAAAGATAGAAAAGCACCATTTAATATAGGTAATAGGCATTGGGGACAAACTGTACCCATGTAACACGTAATGTACCATATAAAAGATAGAAAAGCACCATTTAATATAGGTAATGGGCATTGGGGAAAAACTATAAACATTTAACACATAATGTACCATATAAAAGATTTCAGCAGCCCCAGGTGGGGGGAGAAAAGAAGAAATTAGGGGTCAGAGAGGATGTCAGGGTGTGTGTGTGCCTCTGCCTGAGCTGTGAGCAAACCACAGCAGCCCAAGGAGAAAATCTTTTAGATAACTTGCAATAAACTGCCTTGAGACCGAACAACAGAAGACTTCTCAGCCTTTATTTGAAAACAGGAGTTAGAGGAGAAATTTTTCCACCACACAGAGCCACCCTCAAGCCAGGGTGAGCTGCAGCAAACCCTCACTCTCTCCTTCATCCCACAGCTCCTTTGAAGTCCTGGTTTGAGGGGACGGGAGAGAAAGGGAGAGGAGAGATCTGAGCTCAGACTCTGCATTTACTCTTAATTTTCCCTTGTTTTTAGGGCACTGGGCTGTCACGGGAAGGAGAAGGGTTTATTTGACCTTTCCCCTGCCCAGAGGCTGGGAAGCTGCCTGGGGAAAAGGAAAGGCAGAAAGGATGAAAAATCCACCTGCTTTTTAGTTTTGATCCATTAGCATATTGGAGTTAATTGTCCAGTTATAGCTTTAGGTTACGAAGTCCCATCCTCCTTCTTTTTCTCTCAAATCACTGTTGTTTATGCTTTTGGGCCTGAAACTTGTTATCAGTTGTCCTTGGCCTCAGGCTAGAGAAGGAATTGTTTTGTCTGGCTACCCTGTGAAGAGAGCTCACCACCACTCAATATGAAGCTTAGAACCCACACCTGGGCAGGGCAGAATGTGAAAAACACAAATGCTAAAATTTAAGGAATCTGTGACCACCACGACCAGGCCACAGAGCCCCCAGGCCCTGGCCAGCCCAGGAATGGGGCCAGCTCCAGACCCGGACTTAGAGGGATTAAATCCATGTCCCTCCATCTCCCAGGATCTGCTTCTGCTCCTCTTTTCCCCAGCTAGGAACGTTTATAACTTTGTAAAGTCTTTTATCCACTTGAGGAGCTCCAGCCACAACAGCTTCACCCATTCCAGTTTGGAAGTCCCAGCAGTGAAGGGACAATTTGTCACACTTCCATAGGGGGGAAAAAAGATTAAAAATGCATGTTTCTTCCCCACCTGAATTCTGCCACGGTGTGAGGGTGATCACAGCGACACCACAGCGTTTTTCTGCAGTTTGGGAGGGCCCCTCAGCCACAGGATTTCATTTCTTTACAGAGAACAGCAACACGGGCACGATAAGGTTATCAGCCCCCAGCACCCTGCTGCCATCCCTGACCAAACTATCAGTTGGAGAATCCAGCACGGCACAATTCAGTTTTCACCCACAGTAAACAACTCAAAAACGCCTGGAGGCAGAGGAATTAGAGGCACAGGAATCCCTCATCCCCATCCAAGGAGTGACCTCTGGCTGAGCTGCTGAAGCTCAGAGCGGCGCAGGGCAGACAGGTGACATCATCTGCTCCAAGGACAGGGGGCTGGATGCAGGATGGGATTTTCCCCTGGAATTCCCGCACGCCCATTGAATTTGTGCTCCAGCAATCTCAGTGACCTCCAAACCTGTGGCCCACGTCCAGCCATGACACAAGAGCGAGCGGACACGACGCAATATCGACGCAATATCGCACGACCATGTCATGTGAATAACCATTTCCCGCCCCCCCAACAGCTCCCCAGCCATTTCATTCAATAAACGGGATAAAAAGTGAAAAAATCCTGAGGATGTTACCAGCGTGCCCTTAGTCGATGGGTTTAGTAAGGCTCGACTTTACCAGGCCAGTCTAAATAAACTCTGCTGTAACTGGGGTTACAGACCAGATGTGGGATACAAGTCAGGGCAGGATCTCTGGCATAAAACTCAGGAGAAGATCCTCCTGACTTCGAGTGATAACAGAATTTAAGTATTCCCCAAATATATAACATCCAATCCACAGGGAAATAGGGAAATGTGTAATTCCAGTACGGGAGCAGCACCTGATGTGCTTCTCCACTGCCGTGGGGGTTACAGACAGCCCTGGGACACAAATCAGGGCAGGATCTCCGGCATAAAACTCAGGACAGGACCCTCCTGATTTCAAGGATTAACAGAATTTAGGTATTCCCAAAATATATAACATCCAATTAACAGGGAAATATGATATGCCCAGGTGGACTTTTCTGTCTTAAATCCCTGTGCTGAGCATTTGGACATCCTCTGGGAGCATTCCCTGTGTTAAAAGATCCCCCAGGAGAGCCGGAGCTGCCACCAGAAGCCAGCACAGAAAGGCAAACCCGGTTTGGGAGCGCAGGGATGGAAATCCCCTTCCCTGGACTGCGGCAATGAGCCTCAATATTCCAGCCCGCCACTTTTTATCACAGCCACCCTCCCCACCACGCCATGTGCTGGGGGAGGTGGGGGGGCTGAGATACCTTTTCCCATTGAGAAAATTCCCCTTCCACCCTCTGGCATCTCCCCGACATTGGCCTCAGCCTCACGTCCTCCTGGTACCCCGAATTCCGCTGTGCCGTGCCCAGGTGAACCCCCATGTCCCCCTGCCCATCCAAACCCCCCATGTCCCCCTGCCCATGCGAACCCCCCATGTCCCCCTGCCCATCCAAACCCCCCATGTCCCCCTGCCTATCTGAACCCCCATGTCCCCCTGCCCAGGTGAACCCCCCTGCCCAGGTGAACCCCCATGTCCCCCTGCCCATCAGAACCCCCATGTCCCCCTGCCCATCCAAACCCCCCATGTCCCCCTGCCCAGGTGAACCCCACTGCCCAGGTGAACCCCCATGTCCCCCTGCCCAGGTGAACCCCCATGTCCCCCTGCCCATCCCAACCCCCCATGTCCCCCTGCCCAGGTTAACCCCCCATGTCCCCCTGCCCATCCCAACCCCCCATGTCCCCCTGCCCAGGTTAACCCCCCATGTCCCCCTGCCCATCCCAACCCCCCATGTCCCCCTGCCCAGGTTAACCCCCCATGTCCCCCTGCCCATCCCAACCCCCCATGTCCCCCTGCCCATCCCAAACCCCCCATGTCCCCCTGCCCATCCAAACCCCCCTGGCCCCATCGCCTCAATCCCCCCATCCCCGGGCCAGGTGAGCCCCACCGCCCCTTTTTCCCTGTATCCTCCAGGGCAGGTGAGCAGCCCAGTCCCCCCCCACCCCCCTCACCCCATCCAGGGGCACCCCCATTCACACATCCCCCACCAGGGCACCCCAAAACACCCCCACGTCCCCTCCCCACCCTTCCCCTCGCTCCAAGCCCCTCCACAGCGCGGCAAGTCCGGGCATGTCGCGACATCCCCGCGCAGCCCCGACAGGGGTGCGGACCCCCCTGGCCGCGTTCGGGAGGGTCCCCAGGACCCCCCAAGCCCCGTCCCCACTGACCGTGAGCAGCAGCAGCACAGGGAGGCAGCGCCGGCGGCACCGGCGCATCTTCAGCGGAGCGGGACGGAGCGGGACGGAGCGGCACGGAGCGGGACGGAGCGGGCACGGAGCGGGCACCGAGCGGGCACAGCACGGGCCAGACCCGGGCACGGCTCTAACACAACCGCCTGCCCCACCAGCGTGCAGAAAAATGGGTGGAGAAAGCCATTCTGCACTTTTATAGTGGTGCGGAACGGGCGGGACGAGAAAAGAGGAGGACCTGGGGCTGTCCCAGCGCTGGCGGAGCGAAGTTCGGGGTCGGGGCAGTTCTGGTGTGTGGTTTGAAAGCCGAATTGGTTTTCACTCTTCCCCTTTATTTTAATTTTTAGCCACTCGTTATTTTCGCTCACCGCTGAAGTGACCAGATAAGTTTCGGATCACACCAGGGCTGCGGAATGAAGGGTGTTGCTTCTCGTCTCGCATTTTTTCCCGTTCAGTCATCGGGTTGGAGCGAGCAAAGCCGCGGGGTTTTGTGTCTGGAGAAAAGGGGGTTAAGTGGATAATCCCTGTGTCACAGATCCTGTGCGATTCCCCACAAAATGGCACGGCGGTCTTGAAAAAAAAAAAGTAAAAAAGTCGCCATCTCACCCAGAGGTGGTGTTTTTTTTTTTTTTTGTTGTTTTTTTTTTTTTTTTTTTGTGGGCTAGAACTCGAGATGAAAGGGGGAAAATAGTTAAAAAGCCAAATCTTTGGACTTTCTGCTGTAACACAAACGGCTCTGCTGCTGCACGCTGTCAGGGTAGTGTCTGAGAAAAAATGATTCCAAGAAAAATCTGATTTTACTGGGATGATGGAGGTGTGGTGCGAGTGTTTTAATGGAGAGGTAGAGGGACTTCAGAGCCCCTTCCAGTACATAAAGGGGCTCCAAGAGAGCTTTTCCAGGTCTCTTCCAACCCAAACCGTTCCAGAATCAGGATTCTGAGAGAAAGCCGGGGCAGACATCTCCCTTGTTAATATTTCCCTCTGTAACTTCTATTGCAATCTTCCTTCCTGGTGACTCACCTAAGGGTGGAGGCTGTAGAAAAGCAGGTTTGGCGTTGCAGCCCTAAATGCCCGAGGGCAGGGAAATCTGCGGGAGGCAGTCAGAAAAATGCAGGCAAGAACCAAGGCATAAAAAAACACTGCTCAGCACTGCAGGGACAATGGCAAGGAGCTGCTGAGCATCTCCACCCTGCGAGGAGGCAGGAAGGCTCCTTGGATTCAGCTGGATACAGCTAATCCACTCCGGATGTGGATTTTTGGGAAGCACCTTCTCCTTGGATTCCGCTGGATGAGGAGGATGACAGCTAATCTACTCCGGATGTGGATTTTGGGAAGCACCTTCTCCTTGGTGACATGGCAGGACAAGCCACGGCCACCCGCTTGTCTCCTCGCAGGAATTGGCAGCCTGGATGTGGCACAATTAATGAAGCTGAAGTGGGATTTCAAGGAGAAGAGTTCCCGCTCCTTTCCTGGGTGGGTACTTCTATTACAAGCGACAAAAAGTATGTGGGGCCTTTTTTTTAACCAAAACCATGTGTTCTGTGCTCTGGGCACCACTGACTGCAGCTGAAGTCATTGGAGTCCTCAGAGAATGATTCATTCCTCAGTGAGAGCTGAGCTAGAAGGAGGTTTAGGTCTAGGACTGCAGCTAAATGCTAAATCATGTGCAAATGGCATGGGGAGGATTCATCCTCTCTGTTCACCCTCTCTAAAAAATCAGCCTGGTGCTCCTTGGGGAGCTGCTGTGCCTGAATTCAGCCAGGAAAAGTCGGGATGTGTTCCACATGGAAGTGGACCATGCCAGGTTGCCCCACAGTTCATCCTCAGCATCAAGGATCCCATCCTCCTCCCACCAAACATCGTTGGGGAGCCACAGGGTTTTCTTTTCCTGCCTCAGCCTCCCCATTTATAAACCAGCTCTGTTATCTGCTGACAAACCGCAGGGAGAATATTTGTACAAAGGCAGCTCAGTGTCTGGCCTGGGGGGATTTAGGCTGTGGAGAGAGGTCAGGGTGGTCACCCTGTCCCAGTCCCCAGCCACTCCCAGGAGTGGGACACTGGGCACACACATCATTCCCTCTCCCAGCAGGAATTTCTCTTCCAGAAAAAGCACTGTGGTTTTCATTTAAGGTGGGTTTTTGGACAGGCTCTGGCCACAAGTGAGAATGGGGTGTGTGTTTATCTCCCCGGGCCAGTCCTCCAGCCTTTATCACCCCCAGCCTGTTGATCCCACAGCTCCACACTGGGGGGAAACTGAGCAAGCTGAGAAGAAGTGGGGACCCTCTGCTTTTGGGGTCTTAAATCCTCCCCTGGTTTGCTCAGTTCTGCTGCAGGTGGAGAATAAAACCAGCGTGAGGTTGGAGCTGAGCTGCTCTCTGGCTGTGGAGAGAAGCTGGAGCATGAAATTCCCACAGGGAACGAGCAATAAATGGGTGACTGGGGAAATCAAAAATCGAGGCGAGTTAATGGGTAACCTCGCTGATGTTCAGACCTTCCAAACGCTCCTGTCCTGTCTGACTCACTTCTGTTTGTTCAACATCCAGCCCTACCAAAGATTGGGGCTGTGGGAGGCTCTAATCTCCCCTCCCAGAGCGTCTTTCTGGGGGCTGTGACCCTCAGCACACCCCGGGGAGCTGCCTGGGGTACGTGACCATTTATGTTTTATTTTTGAACATCACCATCCAGTTTTACCTTCAGATCTGTGCTGCCTCCTGCCTGTTTTGGTGCTTGGGAGGGCTCTGAGGCTGTGTGATAATTTTGACCTTCCCCCCCCCAAAATGATTTGCCTCATAAATTCCAAGTTCCTCTTTGAAACAGGAAAAAAAAAAAAAAAAAAGCTGTGGCAAGCTGCTGTACCTTCCTTGGGCAAGCCTGGGCAAACCACTCTGGCCCTCCGTGCCTCAGTTTCCCCTCTGCGGTGAGAGGTGTCACGTTTCTGTCCTCACTGGCTTTGTGTCCCTGCTTTAGTTTTGGGGTTTGTGGGGTGCTCAGGGCAAGCAGGTGGATTTTTCATCCTTTCTGCCTTTCCCCAGGCTCTGAGCAGGGGAAAGGTCAAACAAACCCTTCTCCTTCCCGTGCCAGCCCAGTGCCCTAAAACAATGAACAGTAAATGCAGAGGCTGAGCTCAGCTCTCTCCCCTCCTCCCTTCCCTCCCCTCCAACCAGGACTTCAAAGGAGCTGTGGGGTGAAGGAAAGGCTGAGTTTGCAAAACTCTGAATCCAAACCCCATCTCCAAAGCCTTTATACAAACTCCCTATCCAATCTGCTCCCTATCCAAACTCCTCCATATCCAATCTCCTCCATATCCAAACTCCTCCATATCCAAACTCCTCCCTATCCAAACTCAATATCCAAACTCAATATCCAATCTCCTCCATATCCAAACTCCTCCATATCCAATCTCCATATCCAAACTCAATATCCAAACTCCCTATCTAAACTCAATATCCAAACTCAATATCCAATCTCCTCCATATCCAAACTCCTTCGTATCAAAACTCCTCCATATCCAAACTCCATATCCAAACTCAATATCCAAACTCAATATCCAAACTCCTCCATATCCAAACTCAATATCCAAACTCAATATCCAAACTCCTCCATATCCAAACTCTATCCAAACTCCCTATCCAAACTCAATATCCAAACTCCTCCATATCCAAACTCCTCCATATCCAAACTCAATATCCAAACTCAATATCCAAACTCCCTATCCAATCTCCTCCCTAACCAAACTCCTCCATATCCAAACTCCTTCGTATCAAAACTCCTCCATATCCAAACTCCCTATCCAGGCTCCCTATCCAAACTCCCTATTCAAACTCCTCCATATTCAAACTCCACATCCAAACTCCCTATCCAAACTCCATATCCAAACTCAATATCTAAACTCCTCCCTATCCAAACTCCTCCCTATCCAAACTCCTCCATATCCAAACTCCTCCATATCCAAACTCAATATCCAAACTCCTCCATATCCAAACTCAATATCCAAACTCAATATCCAAACTCCTCCATATCCAAACTCTATCCAAACTCCCTATCCAAACTCCCTATCCAAACTCCTCCCTATCCAAACTCCCTATCCAAACTCAATATCCAAACTCCTCCATATCCAAACTCCCTATCCAGACTCCAGATCCAAATTCCCTATCCAAACTCCCTATCCAAACTCCCGGGAGCTCCTTTGGACCAAAACTCGGGGTCCCGTTTGTTCCTGGATCCGCGGGGTTTTCCTGAAAACACCCAAATCCTGCCCTCCCTAAAGCCAGGCGGGATTTGGGCAGGAGCAGTCCCAGCTCCTGGGTGGGAACGGGTCTCCAGGCGGAAAGGGATTTTATTTTGGGGCTAGAACGGTAGATCTGTAGATTATATTATATTATATTATATTATATTATATTATATTATATTATATTATATTATATTATATTATAATTATATTATATTATATTATATTATAATTATATTATATTATATTATGTTGTATTGTATATTCTATTCTATTCTATTCTATCTATTCTATTAATTATATTATATTTATTATATTTATTATATTTATTATATTTATTATATTATATTATAATATATTATATTATAATATTGTATTGTATTAAATTACATTACATTACATTATAGTCCCAAATACATAATAATATAGAATAATATAGAATAATATAATAATAAATTAAGAATAACATATAATTATTATATATAGCTCCAAATATATAATAAATAATAATATAACAATACATAATAATATATAATTATTACACATAGTCCCAAATGCCCCAAACCCGCTCTCTCCCCACCATATATGACGTCACAGTGACGTCATCACCGTCCATTGGGGGCGTGGCCTTACCCTCCTCCGGGCCGTACCACCGCGGGGGCGGGGGGTGGGGGGGGACGGCGCGGCCCACCCCAAGTGACGCGGGGGTGGCAGCGCGCATGCGCCGTGCGCGGCTCCCCTGAGGCGGGCGGGCGGCCGGGCCGGGCGGAGGCCGCGGCCGAGCCGGGGGCTCGCGTAGATGTGCAGCCCGGGCGAGGCTCCCCCTGGGCCGGCCCCGGCCGGGGACCTGCCCCCGGAGTGGGAGACGGATGACGAGCGCATGGCCTTCCTGTTCTCGGCCTTCAAGCAGAGCCGCGAGGTGAACAGCACCGAGTGGGACAGCAAGATGGCCTTTTGGGTCGGGCTGGTTCTGGCCCGCGGCCGGCGGAGGGGCGCGGTGAGGACGTGCCTGAGGGAGCTGCAGAACGGCTTCGAGCGGCGGGGCAGCGTCCCCCTGGGGCTCGGCACCGTCCTCAGGGAGCTGCTGAGGTAAAGGAGGGCGGGCAGGCTGCGGGGGGATGCGGCTGGAGGGCGAATTCTGCGCCGTCAGGCCCTGCCACGGGTTTCCCACAGGAGCTGTGGTGCCCCGTCACTGGAAGTGTCCGAGGCTTGTTTGTCCGGGTTGCTTGGAGCAACCCGAGACAGTGGGAGGTGTCCCTGGCATGGCAGGGTAGCACTGGGTGGATTTAAGGT